CTCGTGGGTTTCACTGAGTGGTAAACGTCTGAGACCTGCATCACTTCGGGCTTTCTTCCCACAGTAAGTTGACGCGCCGTGATATAACTGGAATACTGTTCAAAGCGGCGCTAAATCCACCTGTTTCACTCACACCATTATTCGTAAGAATCATATTCGAAAAGTATTCGGCAAGGATAGAAGGATGGGTTTTGAAGAGTTGATCCCTCATCACCATGGTCATGTCCGATACTCCTTACTACTGCCGTAAATGATAGAGGGTTAATTACATGTGATCCAGTCATGGGACTTAAGGAGCAGGCATGGGTGTAGTGGGAGTTCTCGTCGGGGAATGTGAAGGTCGTGTTCATTTATGTCAACCTAACCAGAATACTGAATACTAAAACGTCTGAGACCACTCTAGAAAATGAAATGAATAAAATTCAGATTCATGTTCTCTTTTTAAATTGTAGCTGTTTTCATTAAGGAGAAAAATTCTAATGTATGATATTTAGTACATCTTCCATATCTTCATTGCAGCGCGTGACAAATTCATGACTCTCACCGTTGGAAACGCGAGACTTGTACAAAACAATGACCTCGTGAAAGCTACCGTGTTATTGGATAACGTTGTTTTTGTAATTATATATTTTAAAAAATAGGGCTTAGACAAAACATATAGATGACAACAAATGATAGATATTAACTTAGAAAAGTGTTTTTAAAATATATATAACAACTGATGTTGAAATTGTTTGCGTGTTGTTTAACGCCGCACTTTGCAATATTCCAGCCATATGACGGCGGTCTGTAAACCATACAATCAGTGATTGACATCATGAGCATCGATCTACGAATTGGGATACGATGACATGCATCAACCAAGTCAGCGAGCCTCACCACCCGATCCCGTTAGTCGCCTCTTACGACAGGCATAGTCGCCTTTTACGGCAAGCATGGGTTGCTGAAGACCTATTATACCCCGGATCATCACTGGTCGGAAACATTACGAGCAGATTGTGTGAAGGTGGACTATGATTCAGTGTTGCAATCAACGTTGAACCAGGCAAGAGATGTCTTGTGGTCCAAGTCAACTTACAGAAACCATAGCGACTGCTCTGGCTCTTGTTGCTCTCACTTATGTACCCTGCGGTGAAGAGTATCCCCACTGACTTGTTTGTCAGAATGAACAAACAGAGCAATTCTACGTCAAGTCGTTGTCACGTCCCTCGTGGATAGCCTACAGTTGTCAGCAGGTGATCCCACACACGCGTCTTCAAGTAGTGTAGCAGGTAATCCCACACACGCGTCTTCAAGTAGTGTAGCAGGTAATCCCACACACGCGTCTTCAAGTAGTGTAGCAGGTAATCCCACACACGCGTCTTCAAGTAGTGTAGCAGGTAATCCCACACACGCGTCTTCAAGTAGTGTAGCAGGTAATCCCACACACGCGTCTTCAAGTAGTGTAGCAGGTAATCCCACACACGCGTCTTCAAGTGTAGCCACATTCCTTTGCTGAGTGGTTAAGAGATGGTTTGACCCGTGTTTTAAACAATAGGTTCGTTAGTTTGGCTTTAATACAAATAATTATGATGCACTTATTTCTAAGTCTTTCAATCTGTATTTGTTTCATGAAGAAGATCAGTTAGTTGTAAATGTCACAGTTACAGACATGTAGTCTTGTGCTTCTCATGTTGCCGCCAATCCTCCCGAGTCTTACAAGTACTCCTTTGACAGGCAACATCAGTATAGACAAGTCTGTAATATAGTCTGCAACTGAATTTATGAAGTGTTCAGCCTCTTTGTCATCATGTTGCACATTACAGGATTAACATTATTATTACCACACAACTGGAGAACCAACTCCCAGGTTGTCACTCACGATAGTCATGGCGGCAACCTCTAGTTTCTTAGACAAATGTTTTCGTCGAAACACCGCGTTGACATTCACTTAAGAGCCCCCGCGCACATTAATCACAAACAGTGTCATTTAATGTTTAAACTCATAGTCGGTTATGGGTTTCAAGTGACACTGCACAACTGAAAGTGCTCACGGTGTATTTAAAGAGAAGGGAGAATTCGGAGCTAGTGTCTACTAAAACACTATTTTCCTTGACAGATAACTCAAGTTTTGGGATTGTGATCAACCAAACCATAAATAATAACCCTCGTCACATATAACATCTGCTCTGTTCTAAAAACAGACTATATACATCAAGACCTAGTCTGCAAATGGATGCCAGCAATTCAAGCCTAAGGTTACACACAACCAAATGTTTTCCCATAGACTTCTATAGTAACGTTATATTTTGTAAAAAAAATAACTAAGCATTCAACAGCTATTACCTGTATGTGTGTGCACAGCTTGGCCTTAGAGCAGCAATAAAAACTCCTTCCTCGAGTACAGGAAGCTAAACACAACACCCCCAGATCCGCACCAAATTTCACTTGTTTGAACATATTTGTGGTCACATTCAGTATAAGTCATCATGTTGAAAAGGACAGCTCTAAATATAGAAAAACCATGGTCAGTTTTAATTACTGGATGGATTTACATTTCAAAAACACAACCATCTCACACAAAATCACCCAATCACAGCTGCCAGATAATTCTATCTGCACTTAAGGCTACGAAAACTGCTTGTTGAACGACTGATTCAGATTTGGAGTAGTAGAACCCTAATCTCCCTTGTAGCAACGTGCGTGTGAGTCTCTTCCTGGTCGTAATTGGGGTCTCCGGGGCATCATCGTGGTTTTCTTTCAGACTTCGTAACAAAAACTAACAATGCACTGTGGACAATTTAACTCAGTGTTGGTATGTGTGAAATTGTTTTGTCACTAAAGCGCCCTGGTCTTTAGGGGAGGTAGGTGTAATATATTCCTTAGACTTTTCCAAAGCTTCATATCACAGATTAGTGATTCATCGATGGATATAACTACCTACTCACCTTTGACTTCGACTTTGAAACATCATTTCGTAATCATTTTCATTCTTAAATGAGAAAAAAATCAAAAGTGGACAAAGAGGTCTTAGTTAATTTCTCAAACAGATCCATTTCATCGAACGTCGTTTGTATTCCATCATAAAAATAATTGTCTTGTCGATTGCCCGCGTGAGGTAGGTGTAGTAAAGTAATGTCGGTGCAATGATGACGTCAGGGGATGTGTCAAGAGACATGGCCAACCTAGAAACAGGCCGGACATCGAAGTCAGCCGTTTGTAGGCCAAGTACGGTTAAGAAGTGGGTTTTGTGTCGTTTTAGGCTGCTTATTTAGAGAAGACGTCGAAAGGTTGAACTTAAATTGGTGTTTATTAAGATTGGATCTTCTAATAGGTTTTTAGTTGACAATGTTCTCAACACAACGAGGATACCTCCCCTGACCACATACAGTAACTAGAATTATTTAACATGGGTTTATTAAATAAAAGTGACACATCCCGTTCCATATTCATAAGAAATATCTGTTAAAAGCAGAGTCGATTAACGAAGCGTGTGTTTATGAATTACTATCAAATAGTGACGATACCAGGTGTACGCGAAAAAGGGAGCGTATCCTGCCGAACCAGTGACACTCGTCACAAACACACGCAAAAGCAAGCCGAAAAACCACGGGAACAAACGGCACAAGCCAAAACAGTGATCCGCATGGGACATCACTATTGCCACCGATGCGCCACACTGAGGCCTCGAATGATGTAACCTTGATCAAACAAGGTACAGGAGTGGATCTGGACACCAACTGTTAAGCCCATTCTTGACGTCCCCGCCATACTGCGTCTGGAAAAGTGCCAACAGCGGCGTAAAACCATACTCACTCCTCCATCCCCATGTCTAAATTCATCAGAGAATTACACCATACCAAGATATGTACGGCATTGAGCAGTGTACCAGTCTCCCGTAACGTTCAAGGTGCACAAATATATATTTTCTATTTTTCTATCTGTTATAATCCAAATTGAATACGTGGGCCCGCCGTGATATTGCTGGGATATTGCTAAAAGCGGCGTAAAACCATACTCACTAACATTCGTGGAACGGAGTGTATATTTTGTTACTGGTTCCATCTTTCCTGAACGTTAGACTAATGAGTAATGGCGCAATATTGTCATATACAGTTACATATTACATTGCCATGTTAATCGCAATTGCTGAATCTATTAGACATGGTGAGCACGAATCCCTGTCCCGTACCTTATGCATGTACTTGGGCTGGGGTAGCCTCATGTTTAAGGCTTTCGCTCGTCACGCCGACCGTCCGGATTTGACTCCCAACATAGGAACAATGTGTGAAGCCCATTTCTGGTGGCCTCGCCGGAATATTGCTAAAAGCGACGTTAAATCATACTCACTCACTCACTCAAGTACGTCAGGAAAACGGCTCATGTTGTGAAACACCTTTAATTCGGACAATTACGAGATTAACATATTTTGAGTATGGAGGTTTTAGAATCGTTACATATGACATTCACAACAGATACGTCAGGAAGGTTTGGTTTTGCTGCTAACGGGCTTAGAAAATAATGGGTTTCATGTATCAACCATGTGCGAGAAAATATTATCAAATCCTGGATTAACATTGTTTAAAGAAAACTAAATGTAAATATATCCTCAACATAATATCAAAGCCTCCTGTGTTTAAGAAAAGGCAATAAAATACGCTTACCGAAATGTCAGACGTCTGTTCTCTGAAATCGTTTAGAACAGTCAGGTGACATTAAATAGATTCACACGGGCTTGAACTCCCTAAACGACTAACTGCATCACACGAAATGTGTTTTGTAGATGAACATATTACTCAGAGCCTCCAAAAGAAGCTTCGATCTGTCCCAAAGAAAATTGGTCTCGCGATCACTTGGAAGGTCATTCATCAACATGGAATAGGGTAAATGAAACATGCAAAATGCCAATCCAGTAATTCATATATAGAGGATTCCAATAAATCTTTTCCAAATGACGAAAATGTGATTAAGCCATGTTTCTCTAAGAAACTTTATAACTTACAGAAAACGAAGAAATATGTTCAAAGTTCTATCAAAGGTAACATTCTGCTGACAGTGTGAGCAGGGGCCGCCATGACGGTGACAATGTGAGATGGGGCCGCCATGACGGTGACAATATGAGACGGGGCCACAATGACGGTGACAGAGTGAGAAGGGGCCGCCATGACGGTGACAATGTGAGAAGGGGCCGCCATGACGGTGACAATGTGAGATGGGGCCGCAATGATGGTGGCAATGTGAGAGGGGGCCGCAATGACGGTGGCAATGTGAGAGGGGGCCGCAATGACGGTGACAGTTTGAGAAGGGGCCGCCATGACGGTGACAATGTGAGATGGGGCCGCCATGACGGTGACAATGTGAGATTGGGCCGCCATGACGGTGACAATGTGAGATGGGGCCGCAATGACGGTGGCAATGTGAGAGGGGGCCGCCATGACGGTGACAGTTTGAGAAGGGGCCGCCATGACGGTGACAATGTGAGAAGGGGCCGCCATTACGGTGACAATGTGAGATTGGGCCGCCATGACGGTGGCAATGTGAGAGGGGGCCGCAATGACGGTGACAGTGTGAGAAGGGGCCGCCATGACGGTGGCAGTGTGAGAAGGGGCCGCCATGACGGTGACAGTGTGAGAAGGGGCCGCCATGACGGTGACAGTGTGAGAAGTGGCCGCCATGACGGTGGCAGTGTGAGAAGGGGCCGCCATGACGGTGACAGTGTGAGAGGGGGCCGCCATGGCGGTGACAGTGTGATATTGGCCGCCATGACGGTGTCAGTGTGAGATGGGCCGCCATGACGGTGTCAGTGTGAGAAGGGGCCGCCATGACGGTGACAATGTGAGATTGGGCCGCCATGACGGTGGCAATGTGAGAGGGGGCCGCAATGACGGTGACAGTGTGAGAAGTGGCCGCCATGACGGTGGCAGTGTGAGAAGGGGCCGCCATGACGGCGACAGTGTGAGAAGGGTGCCGCCATGACGGTGGCAGTGTGAGAAGGGGCCGCCATGACGGTGACAGTGTGAGAAGGGGCCGCCATGACGGTGACAGTGTGAGAAGTGGCCGCCATGACGGTGGCAGTGTGAGAAGGGGCCGCCATGACGGCGACAGTGTGAGAAGGGTGCCGCCATGACGGTGGCAGTGTGAGAAGGGGCCGCCATGACGGTGACAGTGTGAGAAGGGTGCCGCAATGACGGTGGCAGTGTGAGAAGGGGCCGCCATGACGGTGACAGTGTGAGAAGGGGCCGCCATGACGGTGACAGTGTGAGAAGTGGCCGCCATGACGGTGTCAGTGTGAGAGGGGGCTGCCATGACGGTGACAGTTTGAGAAGGGGCCGCCATGACGGTGACAGTGTGAGAAGGGGCCGCCATGGCGGTGACAGTGTGATATGGGCCGCCATGACGGTGTCAGTGTGAGATGGGCCGCCATGACGGTGTCAGTGTGAGATGGGCCGCCATGACGGTGGCAGTGTGAGATGGGCCGCCATGACGGTGTCAGTGTGAGAAGGGGCCGCCATAACGGTGTCAGTGTGAGAAGGGGCCGCAATGACGGTGACAGTGTGAGAAGGGGCCGCCATGACGGTGACAATGTGAGATTGGGCCGCAATGACGATGGCAATGTGAGAGGGGGCCGCAATGACGGTGACAGTTTGAGAAGGGGCCGCCATGACGGTGACAGTGTGAGAAGGGGCCGCCATGGCGGTGACAGTGTGATATGGGCCGCCATGACGGTGTCAGTGTGAGATGGGCCGCCATGACGGTGTCAGTGTGAGATGGGCCGCCATGACGGTGGCAGTGTGAGATGGGCCGCCATGACGGTGTCAGTGTGAGAAGGGGCCGCCATAACGGTGTCAGTGTGAGAAGGGGCCGCAATGACGGTGACAGTGTGAGAAGGGGCCGCCATGACGGTGACAATGTGAGATTGGGCCGCAATGACGATGGCAATGTGAGAGGGGGCCGCAATGACGGTGACAGTTTGAGAAGGGGCCGCCATGACGGTGACAGTGTGAGAGGGGGCCGCCATGGCGGTGACAGTGTGATATTGGCCGCCATGACGGTGTCAGTGTGAGATGGGCCCCCATGACGGTGGCAGTGTGAGAAGGGGCCGCAATGACGGTGGCAATGTGAGAGGGGGCCGCCATGACGGTGACAGTGTGAGATGGGGCCGCCATGACGGTGTCAGTGTGAGATGGGGCCGCCATGACGGTGACAGTCTGAGGATTGGCCGCCATGACGTTGACAGTGTGAGAAGGGGGCCCCATGACGGTTACAATCTGAGACTTGGCCGCCATGACAGTGTGACAGTGTTAGATGGGGCCGCCATGACTGCGACAGTGTGAGATGGGGCCGCAATGACGGTGACAGTGTGAGATGGGGCCGCCATGACGGTGACAGTGTGAGAAGGGGCCGCCATGACGGTGTCAGTGTGAGATGGGCCGCCATGACGGTGTCAGTGTGAGAAGGGGCCGCCATAACGGTGTCAGTGTGAGATTGGGCCGCCATGACGGTGACAGTGTGAGAAGGGGCCGCCATGACGGCGACAGTGTGGGAAGGGTGCCGCCATGACGGTGGCAGTGTGAGAAGGGGCCGCCATGACGGTGACAATGTGAGATTGGGCCGCCATGACTGCGACAGTGTGAGATGGGGCCGCCATGACGGTGACAGTGTGAGAAGGTGCCGCCATGACGGTGACAATGTGAGATTGGGCCGCAATGACGGTGGCAATGTGAGAGGGGGCCGCAATGACGGTGACAGTTTGAGAAGGGTCCGCCATGACGGTGACAGTGTGAGAAGGGGCCGCCATGACGGTGACAATGTGAGATTGGGCCGCCATGACGTTGGCAATGTGAGAGGGGGCCGCAATGACGGTGACAGTTTGAGAAGGGGCCGCCATGACGGCGACAGTGTGGGAAGGGTGCCGCCATGACGGTGGCAGTGTGAGAAGGGGCCGCCATGACGGTGACAATGTGAGAAGGGGCCGCCATGACGGTGACAGTGTGAGAAAGGGCCGCAATGACGGTGACAGTGTGAGAGGGGGCCGCCATGACGGTGACAGTTTGAGAAGGGGCCGCCATGACGGTGACAGTGTGAGAGGGGGCCGCCATGGCGGTGACAGTGTGATATGGGCCGCCATGACGGTGTCAGTGTGAGATGGGCCGCCTTGACGGTGTCAGTGTGAGATGGGCCGCCATGACGGTGTCAGTGTGAGAAGGGGCCGCCATAACGGTGTCAGTGTGAGATTGGGCCGCCATGACGGTGACAGTGTGAGAAGGGGCCGCCATGACGGTGACAATGTGAGATTGGGCCGCAATGACTGTGGCAATGTGAGAGGGGGCCGCCATGACGGTGACAGTGTGAGATGGGCCGCCATGACGGTGTCAGTGTGAGAAGGGGCCGCCATGACGGTGTCAGTGTGAGAAGGGGCCGCAATGACGGTGTCAGTGTGAGATGGGCCGCCATGACGGTGACAGTGTGATATGGGCCGCCATGACGGTGTCAGTGTGAGATGGGCCGCCATGACGGTGTCAGTGTGAGAAGGGGCCGCCATGACGGTGGCAGTGTGAGAAGGGGCCGCCATGACGGCGACAATGTGAGAAGGGTGCCGCCATGACGGTGGCAGTGTGAGAAGGGGCCGCCATGACGGTGACAGTGTGAGAAGGGGCCGCCATGACGGTGACAGTGTGAGATGGGGCCGCCATGACGGCGACAGTGTGAAAAGGGTGCCGCCATGACGGTGTCAGTGTGAGAAGGGGCCGCCAAGACGGTGTCAGTGTGAGATGGGCCGCCATGACGGTGACAGTGTGAGAAGGGGCCGCCATGACGGCGACAGTGTGAGAAGGGTGCCGCCATGACGGTGGCAGTGTGAGAAGGGGCCGCAATGACGGTGACAGTGTGAGAGGGGGCCGCCATGACAGTTACAGTGTGAGATGGGGCCGCCATGACGGTGTCAGTGTGAGATGGGGCCGCCATGACGGTTACAGTCTGAGGATTGGCCGCCATGACGTTGACAGTGTGATAAGGGGGCCCCATGACGGTTACAATCTGAGACTTGGCCGCCATGACAGTGTGACAGTGTTAGATGGGGCCGCCATGACTGCGACAGTGTGAGATGGGGCCGTAATGACGGTGACAGTGTGAGATGGGGCCGCCATGACGGTGACAGTGTGAGATGGGGCTGCCATGACGGCGACAGTGTGACATGGGGCCGCCATTACTGCGACAGTGTGAGATGGGGCCGCCATGACGGTGACAGTGTGAGATGGGCCGCCATGACGGTGTCAGTGTGAGATGGGCCGCCATGACGGTGGCAGTGTGAGATGGGCCGCCATGACGGTGTCAGTGTGAGAAGGGGCCGCCATAACGGTGTCAGTGTGAGAAGGGGCCGCAATGACGGTGACAGTGTGAGAAGGGGCCGCCATGACGGTGACAATGTGAGATTGGGCCGCAATGACGATGGCAATGTGAGAGGGGGCCGCAATGACGGTGACAGTTTGAGAAGGGGCCGCCATGACGGTGACAGTGTGAGAGGGGGCCGCCATGGCGGTGACAGTGTGATATTGGCCGCCATGACGGTGTCAGTGTGAGATGGGCCCCCATGACGGTGGCAGTGTGAGAAGGGGCCGCAATGACGGTGGCAATGTGAGAGGGGGCCGCCATGACGGTGACAGTGTGAGATGGGGCCGCCATGACGGTGTCAGTGTGAGATGGGGCCGCCATGACGGTGACAGTCTGAGGATTGGCCGCCATGACGTTGACAGTGTGAGAAGGGGGCCCCATGACGGTTACAATCTGAGACTTGGCCGCCATGACAGTGTGACAGTGTTAGATGGGGCCGCCATGACTGCGACAGTGTGAGATGGGGCCGCAATGACGGTGACAGTGTGAGATGGGGCCGCCATGACGGTGACAGTGTGAGAAGGGGCCGCCATGACGGTGTCAGTGTGAGATGGGCCGCCATGACGGTGTCAGTGTGAGAAGGGGCCGCCATAACGGTGTCAGTGTGAGATTGGGCCGCCATGACGGTGACAGTGTGAGAAGGGGCCGCCATGACGGCGACAGTGTGGGAAGGGTGCCGCCATGACGGTGGCAGTGTGAGAAGGGGCCGCCATGACGGTGACAGTGTGAGATGGGCCGCCATGACGGTGTCAGTGTGAGAAGGGGCCGCCATGACGGTGTCAGTGTGAGAAGGGGCCGCAATGACGGTGTCAGTGTGAGATGGGCCGCCATGACGGTGACAGTGTGATATGGGCCGCCATGACGGTGTCAGTGTGAGATGGGCCGCCATGACGGTGTCAGTGTGAGAAGGGGCCGCCATGACGGTGGCAGTGTGAGAAGGGGCCGCCATGACGGCGACAATGTGAGAAGGGTGCCGCCATGACGGTGGCAGTGTGAGAAGGGGCCGCCATGACGGTGACAGTGTGAGAAGGGGCCGCCATGACGGTGACAGTGTGAGATGGGGCCGCCATGACGGCGACAGTGTGAAAAGGGTGCCGCCATGACGGTGTCAGTGTGAGAAGGGGCCGCCAAGACGGTGTCAGTGTGAGATGGGCCGCCATGACGGTGACAGTGTGAGAAGGGGCCGCCATGACGGCGACAGTGTGAGAAGGGTGCCGCCATGACGGTGGCAGTGTGAGAAGGGGCCGCAATGACGGTGACAGTGTGAGAGGGGGCCGCCATGACAGTTACAGTGTGAGATGGGGCCGCCATGACGGTGTCAGTGTGAGATGGGGCCGCCATGACGGTTACAGTCTGAGGATTGGCCGCCATGACGTTGACAGTGTGATAAGGGGGCCCCATGACGGTTACAATCTGAGACTTGGCCGCCATGACAGTGTGACAGTGTTAGATGGGGCCGCCATGACTGCGACAGTGTGAGATGGGGCCGTAATGACGGTGACAGTGTGAGATGGGGCCGCCATGACGGTGACAGTGTGAGATGGGGCTGCCATGACGGCGACAGTGTGACATGGGGCCGCCATTACTGCGACAGTGTGAGATGGGGCCGCCATGACGGTGACAGTGTGAGAAGGTGCCGCCATGACGGTGACAGTGTGAGATTGGGCCGCCATGACGGAGCCAGTTTAATGTAGGTGGGAATGAGTGAAATAGCGACAATTTCAATAAGGGAGGACTTGTTAATATACGCGTTGCCAGGGAGAGTAAATGAGATTTAGTCTAAATCAAGGATCGACAATATTCCTGCTGATGGCCCCAAGACTGGGCAACAACCAGACTGGCGATTCCTTCAGTGAAACATTGTAATGATGTTCTGTTAAACTGGCCCAACTAAGGACGCGAGCCTCAATGTCGAAATTATCGAACTTTGGGATATGATTGTGATTATTTTTTCTTGTCGCTCTGGCACCAAGTGTTTTTATGTAATACGTTCTTCTACATAATTTGACGGACGGAAATAGGCCAATTTTACCCGAGTTACAGCAGCCAGGGATCCAAAGTGGTTTCAGGAGGAGAAAAAGTTCCATGTGTCGTGAAGACCTTAGATACAAAAGTGAACTATGTGCCCAACGAGACGTGATTCGAAATACAATTTTGTATTTGTAACCCTGGAAAGAGATTTGGTTGAAAAAGAAAACTAATCATCCGTTTGAATTGTTTAGGAAACCTCTCAATTTGATTAAAGTACCTCCACATTGCATGCGAATAAAACTATTTGCCAGTGGAAAACATGTCTTTTATATTGTGTTTGTATTGTCATGGACTTTCGTGAAAAGTGCACTTCCAGACCAGCGAATAGGATTTTTCGGCCTTTTAAGTGTTCGCATATCCATCACAATTTCTCTTTGCCATAATCTCTAAAAGCAGATAAAAGCAGTAACGCTCAACATTGATTCTACAAGAATCGGATCAGATAGCTAATATAATTGTTATCAATGTGTGATTTTGGTTGTGTCACAGTGTTTTTCGGTTTGAATTTATGTCCTTCTCAAGAAAAAGGATTGCTATGTTATGGTGTTACTGCCTTGGCACCATACACGTAAACTATGTACTTTCAGCGACAGATATTTTTGGCTCATATTGCATTCCCTTATGTATTTGAGTATTTGGTGGTTCGTGTAAGCGAATGACTTATATTGTTATACTTCTGTAAAGAAGTTTTAATGTCATTGATTAATCCATATCGAGTGACCAAACAATAAATGTCATCCCTGACCGAATACTGAAAACTGACCCGAAAAGGTTTAGTTAGATGACGAGACTGACACTGACCTTGGTTATAGACTCGTCACATGATCACTATCGATCTGTCACGTGATCAGCATTGACTTCGTCTCCTCGAAAAACATAGCGTCTACAAATGACAATTCACGGTTCTCCGATTGAACTGCAATTGTAATAAAATGAAAACAAGTAAAATTAAGCACGATGTACGATTCCGACTGAGGGTGAAGACATCAGTGTTCGCGAAAAGATGAGTGGACCCTGCCCCACTGGTGGCGCCCGTCACAAACACATACAAACCCAAGGCAATATTCCCCCTGACAAAACACGGGAACATATGACACAAGTGCATGTCATTTTGTCACTGATGCGTCAAATTTGGAAAAGTCCTCCACATATCAACCACAGAGCTGTAGGCCTTAAATGCTGTAACCCCGATCAAACAACTTTTGAGCAAGAGTCGTATGAAGCTCTTTGAAATCTTTGTAAAAATTGCACGCTCGATTGTACCTGAAACTTTGGGAAATGCCCACACAACAGATTATACGTAGGTCATTATGCAAAACCAAAGACCCCCAGATCCGACCACCCCAGGGGTTGGGTCCTCGATTTCTTGTTTTCTTATAATGACCCCACCGAGAGTAATTATTCGCACAATATTTCCAAAAAATACATTTACGGACTGGAATGTTTGTGGTCTGCCGTGCCGTGATT